TTTCAGGAGAGGATTTACCCTCTCTCTCCCTGGGCAGGTTTCCCCACTGCTCCTCCGACCTGCCCTGACGCTCGCTAGCCTCGCCCTGGCAAACGTTCCCCTGGGACCTTCCTGAGAACATCCCGTGTGGTTCTGCCAACTCAGGGCCTCTCTGCTGGGGATTCTCCTCCTCATTCTCACTGGCCGACCCATCACCTGCTGGGGGAAGGAGAGAACCCAGCATGAGTCACTCCCTGCGCTGGGTTTGTCACACAGGCAGAAGCTTTTGCATCATCTGAACAGTCAGTAGTTGAATCTTCCCCAAACTCCTCCCCACAGCTGGAAACTCGCGAGCTTCAGCATCGATACCACAGTACAGAGGATGGGGGAAGGGAGGAATACCTGCTTGGTGCATCCACAGCTGTTCCCCTCGCTCCATGTGGGAGATCAGGTCAGGTTTAGGGCTGGGAAATCCTGCCCCGGGGAAGAGAGAACAGGAGAGATCAGGGCTGGTTACGGATTCCCGGTTTCCTCGTTACACAGAGGATGCTGGGAAGATCCCAGCCTTATGTTCGCCAGCGAGGACTTGCAACCCGAGTAGATGGGAAATGCCCATGGTGACTTACCCAGCCAGGTCACATTCTCATAATTCTCCCGCATGACGTCCCTGTAGAGGGCTCTCTGAGCGGGGTCCAGCAGAGCCCACTCTTCCGCGGTGAAATACACAGCTACCTCCTCGAAGGTCACTGCCTTTGCTGCAGCCATTCCCTTTTCCTGCCCTCTGGGAGAATGGAACAACCTGGAGCAAAACACAGACGTTCTCCTGCAGCCTGTCAGGCGAGAAGCGCAAATGGGGACATTTCAGCAGCAGCTCTAGTCCATTTTGCACCGATTTCCCCTTTGTGCGCTCCCTCCAGGCGGAACCTCAAGACTCGGACGTAATGCGCAAGACGTGATTTTTAAAAATACCATCCTAAAGTTCGCCTCCTCGAGTCATATCCTGAATAAGAATCCTGGTTTTTACAGGTCCCGAGCGGGCGTCGCTGGATTTCAGTTCTGAGTGCCCAGAACTTTTGATAATAGGCCACTTACCCAGGTGCCTGAATATGGATTCAGGAGCCTAAATTTAGGCTCCCGAATTTAAACATCCCGGCCTTTGTCTTTTTATTCCAGCACAATGCCGCTCCCACACCAGGTCTACAATATTTTCAAACTCTCTCATTAAATTAAACATTAATGGGACCGTTCACACAGTCCCAAACAAATGTGTGCGCGTTACCGGGCTCAGCTCCTCCGCGAGGAAACAAACCTTATCAAAGGGGGAAATAATCCGTGTTCCCGCACAAGAGACATTCACTCAACTCTCATAACAAATCTGCGTCCAAACAGATTTTCACCAGACGACGAAGAGGCAAGCGCCTGACCTAAGAATTCTCTCTGTCAAATGTAAAATTTCCAGCCCCAAAGGTGCTGGAATTGGTCAAACTCTGACAACACTTTTAAAATGGCAAAAGTGATTCTCCCCATCTCCACAGCCCCTGCTCAAAACAAAGGCCAAGAGATTTAGCTTCAAATGCTCCGAAATAAATCCACCTGCTATTTATTATTATTAGCATAGCACCTGGGAACTCCAGACATGGACCGCCCCCCCCGACCCCCGTGTTAGGTGCTGTCCAACCACAGAACCAAAAGCTACTCACTACCCCCATAGATCTAAAAAGACCAGACAGACACAGTGTGCAGAAGGGGTACAACACACAAGCGGAGCGAACAAAGTGGTGGCGGCAAATTGGATGCTAGTGCCATGGTGGGTTGCTGGGTTTTTTTTGCAGAGGAGGGGTCAGTTAGACGGGGATCGTCTCAATGGAAAGGGAAGGGGAGGGGAGGTGGCGAGGAATAGAGAGGCGTGGAGCGATGCTGAGATGAAGAGACTGTGTGCATGGCTTGGGGATATAAAAGGTTAATCAGTAAGCATTAGGCTTACCGGTTAACCAACCTTCACCGTTAACCCCGGCGGCCCCACGCCAGGCTGGCGGGAGGGATCACAGCCCCGGCCGCGCTGGCTGGAGCAGCCCCGGCATCGGCCGCACTGGCGGGGCCCCAGCCCCAGTCGCACTGGCAGGACCCCAGCCCCGGCCAGGTCGGAGCGAGCCCCCAGCCCCCCCCGTGCTAGGCCTCCCCCCAGAGCTACCTCAGTTAACGGTTAACCGGTTAAATGATATAATTTTAATAGTTTAACTGGTTAACTTTTTAAACCAATATTTACGTCCCTAGTACGGCTACACTGCATCCAGCTATGGCATTGTAGCTAGGCTGCCGCTTCCTACATTGCTGGAACATTGTTTTTGTTTGTTTTTTTCCCCATCACTGTCGTCCCTCCATCTCTCCGAGAGGCGGTAGCTAGGTCGGCAGATGAATCCTTCCGTCAACCTAGCCGCGTCTGCACCGGGAGTTAGGTCAACCTCACTATGGTGCGGAGGGAGTGACATTTTTTAAGTGTAGATCAGGCGGGAGGGAAGTGGGAGGATTGGAGCCAACAGCCAGCCAGCATAGGGCAGAGAAAGTCCAACTGCAGCTGTAGAAAGCTGTCGAAAGTTCCCGGAGGGCTAGTCCGGTGAAGGCACTCTGTGCCGACGGGAGAGAGAACTCTTCTGTTGGTATAGAGTTATCACCAGGCTCAATTTTGACTGGCCTGGCCAGTTCTTTTATGGATTTGATAGTTGCCAAAAAAATAATTTAATCTGCCAGGTTTGGGGGTTTTTTTACATGGGTCTAAAGATTTTCATTTTAGTCTCACAATACACTGGGCTAGCCACTGTGAAAAGTTTCTGTGTCCCGCTAAAGGTGCTGCCATGTTCCCATCTGTATTTTCCGCAGTTTAAGCAATAACAGGGAAAGGGTAGGGACGGCAGCACCCCTATTTGTGGCCTGCAACATGCAGGGGGTCAGACCAGATGATCATAATGGTCCCTTCTGACCTTAAAGTCTATGAGTCTATGAACAGATCCAAACTGTGGAAAATACAGCAGCTGTCTGCCCATCCATACACAAGCGCACCGCAGAAGTGTGTGCGAGAGGGTATGAGTAGGGCCCTACTAAATTCACGGCCATGAAAAACGCATCACAAACTGTGAAATTTGGTCTCTTGTGTGCTTTTACCCTATACGATACAGATTTCACGGCGGAGATCGGCATTTTTCAAACTGGGGGTCCTGACCCAAAAGGGAGTTGTGTGGGGGGGGGTGTCGCAAGGTTATTTTAGGGGGGTTGCGGTATTGCCACACTTACTTTTGCACTGCTGCTTTCAGAGCTGGGTGGCCAGGAAGCGGCGGCTGCTGGCTGGGCACCTAGCTCTGAAGGCAGCACCCTGCCAGCAGCAGCCGACAGAAGTAAAGTGGCAATACCATACCATGCCACCCTTACTTCTGCGCTGCTGCTGGTGGCGGCTGAGTTCCCGGCCAGCAACCGCCGGCTCCAGCTGCCC